CCGATACACAGCAACAGTACTAGCTGTTTTCTAAAAATGTGTTTTTTTGTCCTTTCTGAAGCTGAAATGGATGGCAGAGCTTAAATGACTTAAACAGACTATCCCACCTATTTATGGTACCACTGCTTCATTATTATTGAACAATGAAGATCAGACTACTAATAATTTCATTAATAATAACAATCAGACTGTTCTAGAAGGAGAGATATTAATGAAAAATAGCATTTGCTTTTTTGGCAAGGCAGCATTGGTAGTAAGTAGGATGTAGCATGAGTGTTTTGCTAAAATTACTTTCATCGTTTCAAATAATGGGGCTTCTGACTTAACCTGAGAAAGACTGTCCTGCAAATTACTGTCAAGAAATCATTGATATTCAGCCAAAACCACTCTCAGTTTCAATATGACATACCTCCAAATGTTCCTTAGTGCCAGCTCAAATTGTTCCTTTTCATCCTTCTGCGTATAATCCGTCCACAACAATCCTGTTTTGAATTCCCTTGGCCAAAACATAGGCATGCAGCTGCTTCAGCTTTTCCCAACCCTTGCATTTTTTCCATGTGCTGCTCACCCCCACCAATCTCTACATTAGAGCCCAGCTGATCTTCCCTGACCACTATCCAATTTTTCAACTGTCAGTGCCAGCATGCAACGCAGTGAGCTTGACTCCCTTATACAACTTATTGGGAAGTAAAGCAGAATTGTCTCTTTTTGGTTTCATCAGAGAGAAATACCTCTTCTTTCACGAATGGCTCCACAAAAATCAAGATGAAAACACCTGCATCTCTATAATCCATAAAACAATTTCTGCTTGCAGAAACTTGTTTATTTTATGTATACATGTAATTAATATAGCCACTATGTCAAAATGGTTCCTCTTCTGGGCCTTTCCAACTGTGTCCATAAGTTTTTATTTCATCTTTTAAAACAGAAAGAGGAGAGCCAAAAAAGAAGGGTAGACAAAAATTCAAAGTTCTTTAAGATTCCCAATTACAGCAACACAACCCCAACATCAGAGCAATTAACTGGTCGTGCTTTTTGAATATGCCATCAGATTTTGACATAACTGTGTTTGACTGGACTGCCTTTTGCAGCTTGCCCAAAAAATCGTAAGATACAATCTATTCTAAAAAAGAGACAAAATGTTTTGCATCAGCCTCTTTGTTCCTAAGGGGGAGCCCCAAGCACTTCTGATGGCTACAGCCCCAGCTGTAGGACAGTGAAAATACAGTCCCTGATGTGCAGATGTGGGAGTCTCTCTTTTCCTAAGGGCAGCAAGCTGTTTCCTGTGAATATATTTACATTCTCTTTATTTAAACTTTCTGTAATTTTCTACTGTTTCTGCACCTTGAGTAACACAATTTAGCGGCAATTCTGAATTTCTTTACCACACCATTTATTTTTCTTTCTGTACTGTCATCTAAGTCTGGCTGATCTGCTTGGATCATCAGACCGTAGGAAAACATACAGAGCATCTAATCTTTATAGAGTACAACCATGCGCTCTCTCCCAACTCAATCCAGTACTCACGCACCACATCATACGCTTCAATAAAGTTTTGTACGTTCAATGTTCAGAACAGACAAAGGGACCAACTTGCCCAGTGCTCTGGGCTGGACACGGGAACCGAAGCTACCAAGCGCAGGATAATTCAACTGAGGACATATGCATGGTTCTAGGCAGCAGACCAAGTCCACTTGTTTTCAAGTGCATTTCCCCTGGGGAATGACAATTTTAGGGAAGACATCACAAACAAGACATCACTACTGCCAAGGTAGGGGAATGCATACACAGAGATGCCCCATGCTGCCAGTAAGTCAACATTAAGCAGTGGCTTTGTTTCAAATTTCCTGCCCCATCACCTTATTTCAAGTCTGTGATGATGTGTATAGATGTATCCCAAGACCATAAAGAGCAAAGGCTATTCTTGGACATCACACTACTGCATCTTTCTTTCTTCTCAAGGGCCTGCAAACAGCCAATAAATTAATAGTTTCACAATTTCCAGTTGCAATACTCTTCATGGGAAGACTATACTTTCAACGAAATGAAAAGTGCTGAGGAAAATGTCTGCTTCCCTGAGAGGAAAGTTTCTTTGTCAGAAACCTAGGCACAGTATACCTCAGCTGCTTTGGTATAGTTTGCTTGGTTTTTCTGCTATGTTGTATTTTTAGACAAAGGCATTCTTGTTGAGTTTAGCCAAAATTTCCAGCTAGTCAGTTACAGTGTTTACTGCTCTTCCCTGTGCCATGTTGACTTCTCTCCCTTTGCCAAAGTGTTTCTTAAAGCTCCTCTGAATATATGCTCTTCCTTGTGTCTGACAGCTTTTTCTTCCTCTTTTGCCCACGGTTATTTAAGACTGTGCTTTTATTGCTCAACATACTCCAAGAAGCATTTAGGCTAAATGCTCTGTCAAAGACACTTATGTACAGTTGAGCTATATTATATTCTATATGAATCATTGCGGATGTTTCACAAACAAGGTTAGATCAGCCAGATTTTCCAACTATATTAAACATAGCTTTTTCAGACATGGTCTACTAAGCCTGCGATTAATCCTCCATATTGAAACTCACCTCACATTTGGACCATGTCATGTCTGCCCACAGGGACAGGAGCATGCCACTAACACTTTCGCCTAATGAGGATAACAATCCTATGACAGCAATCTCAGCCAATTTTTATCCGCAGAATGCAAGGGAAAGTCTAAATTTGAAAAGCTAGATGGTCTCTCACCATCCTTCCCAGTTTTATTGCCTAGGATATCTTCAGACAGAGACCTCATTTGAATGGCCAGGAAAGAGAAAAGTCTAGGGGACTTTTCACCAACTGAGGACAATTTTGTGCCATATTTTATCTTATACTAATGAAGATTGCCAAGAGCCTGGTAATCAATCCTTCTTGCCTGCTTTATTTCATCAGATAGATGGAGAAGCTCAGGGAATACTGAATTGCTTTTTACCTACCCACCACACTTTCCAAGTTGCATCTGCTACATTAAATCTGGTCCTTCAGGCAAAACTGAAATTCCACCTGGAGAAGAGCAGTCTGACAGAGGCCTGAAAAATGAAGTTGGTGGCAGTCTACTGCCCTGCAACAGAGAAGCAACTAAAACCCCATGGAGAGAAAAAGACAAAACAGCTATGAGGGAAAATGAGCTGGACTAGATGTTTCTTGAAAACAAAGAAACTAGCATTTTTGATCTGGTATAGCGAAGCAGCTGTGACATGAACAATGTCCCCAATTGAAAAAAACAGCCACTGAGGCTCCATATGTTTCCAAACTCGCACAACGGATGCTTTACAATGCACTTTTTGTCTGGAACTTGGGTGGGAAACAGAGGTTCCTCACATCCTCACCCACCTCCTATACTAATACAATGATCTGGCTTGTCACAGAAAAAGGGACAGAAAAAAAGAAAAGGAGAGAAAGTGATTAATAATCTGTGGGCAGCTGCTTACTTTCCAATTGGTTGTCCAGGAGGGGTGTGCTCCACTTCAAATCCTGCTTGTCTCAGAACATCAATCACAGTGTTGTTACCCAGGAAGTGACCTAAAATACAGGTAGAAAATAGCACTGTCAATCAAACTGCTCTTCTCACTCGAGTTTCTCCTGTTGCAGCAACAGGTTTGGGAGGAGAGGTTACCAGGAGCCAGACCAGCTCCAAAAGCAAGAAAGGCACCTTATGCAATCTGTTGTAATTCAGACTGGGCTATTCACCATGTAGCGCACTGCAGCCTTTGGCACTGGCCAGAGGAAGGGACAGTGCACAGCTCAATACAGTCTTCTTCCATCCTTTTTACCCCTCCCTCCCCTCCCCAGGGCCAAGGGACTGGGTGGATAAAAGAAACCTTAGATGAATCGCAAGTCTCTTCCACTGTGACCATTTTTAGTGTGTGCATGGACTAAACAAACTTCTAATATTGATATCAGAATGACCCGTCAGTGGCAAAAAGTATTACTAGGGCTTTGACTCACTAATTGGAACAACTTACAAACCCTGATGTCCACCCTGCCCATCATCGTTCATCGACATCTGCTTATGACAAAGCTCTAAAGCTGCTGTACTGCACGCTCAGCATTTATGTACCTAAAACGTCAGTGATTCAGGAATTGCTTCATCAACCGCTCAGCCATCTGCACAGCCGGGTTGGGAGGAGCTGGGACAGTAACCTTATCTCTCCCAAAACACAAAGATTTAGTCCTGTAAATCAGGAGTCTTTGCTAGAAGTGTAAAGGTCGCATTCCTATTCACAGAAGTAACAAAGAGCCCAGTAAGTACTGCAGCATGTACGGGTCTTGGAAGAGTTTACTTAAGGGAGTCCTGTATATTCCAGATCTGAAGCAAATACCACTGGAGTCACTGGGAGTCCTCTAAGGGCTCTGGGTACAGGCCCAACAAGGCAGTGTAATCCCTCTAAAGCTTTCAATTTACTGTCAGTCTCACATTATTTTCAGGATGGGTTAGATGTAGAAAGTAAGGAGGCAAGAAGTCCACTAACAGGTTTATTAAAATCCACGTAGCCCAGTAATCTGTCTCCAACTGTAGCCCATGGTGAGTGTTAAAATACATGAATGACACTGAGAAAGGACAGAATGATCCTCCTCCCTTATGTCCATTTTCTTCCAGCTCTGCATGTCCACGCGACCCCCATTTACACCCAGGTCATCGCACCTCGCTGCCAGCTCTGAACAGACCAACTGACCACAAACGTGCTCAAGCCTCTGCCTCCATGTACTATTTGCCTCGTTACATCTTGCAGCAGGGAGTTCCACCACACGTGAAGACACACTCCTGCTTTGCTGCTGCTTGGATAACGCGTGCTTGCCTTAAGCACAGTGTGAGTGTTTGCAGGAGATGTTTGTACATGCCTGGCTCCTTAGCAGAGCCAAAAGCTTTGCACAGAAAAATCAAGGCAGGCAGGACATGCCCGAGTCTCTCTCCGTGCACAGCACTGTGTGAGGAGCTGGTGTGTCCGTCACCAGTGCCACCCATAGGACGCTTCACCACCAAGTCACTATGAATTTGAGAGTAATTCAGTGACTAGTGTTCACTAAGCCTCCATCTCCCTGCTCACACCGCCAACAACAGCGCTAATTCGCATCAGTTGTGAGAATGATGTAGCTATATGGTTTTTAGTGCAACTTGCAAGAACTGGTAAGAGCTTTTAGCCAAAATACATTTCTTTAAATGATTAAATGTACATTTGCAGAGCCCTAGTGTGTTCCAGGATTCCTCCACTTCCTTTTAAGAAAACTCAAAATTTGATTTTCCCCTGACTAACTTACTCATAACAAAAGCCAAAGGAGCAGACAGCAGTCCCAAAAATGTGTTACACACCCTCAGAGATTCAAGAAATGAGACATTTGTGAGTGATTAACTGGATTTGATCATATCCTGGCTTTTTTATGCAGTGGCCAAGGCAAACAAAGGTCCCCATTCTGTCACTGGCAAAGTGACACTGAGGAACCAAAGTCAAAGGTGCCAAAGTCAGAGATGTTTCTGAGTCCACGGTACAATGCTCTACTTCCCCTAACTGGAGTCTTCCATGCCAAGAGATTTCTTAATATAAACAATCGTTCTGAATCCAGCAAATCTTTGACATCATGTCAAAAGCACCCAATTTTAACTGCTTTAAACGCAGGAAAAAAAGTAACTATGCAACAGCTCTGATTCGTCATCCACAAAACGGTAGGACCCTCAACAACATCAGTAAAGCCCACAAGCCCCTGCAAATGACGGATGAAGACCAAAAGGTGATGCCTCCTGGACTTCCCATTCCTTTCCTCTGTGTGGATACCATGATGAAGGTTTGAGGAAAAAGGCAGCACTTGAGATGTCCAGTTTAGGTGGGTTAAGCGAAACATGAAAACACCCTTGTGTCATTGCTGTATTTCCAAGGTTAAGGAATTCCTGGAAGAAATGTCTCCGCTTGCCTCCTGATCGTAAGTTGATCATAATTATCCTTCCCAGTTTTAAAATCCAGAAAAATATTCTATATGAGAAATTTCTTAGATAAAATGACCCTCCTTGGTCACATACAACCTGAGATAAACTTTCACTGGTAAGATATTCACAGTGATGTTTCACTTTTGACAGCTTATGGCATGTAACGAAAACCAGTTTAACCTGTAGAGACGATTAAGCTCAGCATCAGTGAAAAACACCAAATCCCTGCCTCTGTCTGCCCATAGGTGCAAACGGAATATGTAATAATTGACTGATTCTTTAATAACATCAGTGGACTTAATTTTTATTTATAGATATTAAAAAAATCCTTTATATATTTATATGTGTTTGTGTATGCTAAAAACTTTCACAAAATTTCTCTGCCTGGCCTGGAAATTTTCTTAAAAAAAAAAAAAATCAAGAAAGTATAATTTGAAAAGTTAGTGCATCTCGAGATGTATCAGACAGATTAGAGAGACAGGGGAATGCTCTTGCTTCTCTATCACTATTCCCCCTTCAGTCTAAACCTCAATAAACTATTCCTGCAGCCTTAACCAAATTTACCTTGACAGCTGATGAAAACTGGATCCAAGAGTTCACCAACTGCCTCAGGAAATCCATGCAAGCATGGGAAGAGAAGAGAAAGCAGACATAATAGATAGGGACTTGAAGTGAAAGCCTGTACTTGAGGATGGAGATATGCAGTACAGCCTCTCCTAACAGTTTAAGATTAAAAAAAGAAAAAAAAAAATGATGTGGATGCAGTCCTTCCACCCTCTAAGGATAAGGAGATACTCATGGGATTTGCGTAAGGACAAGACCCAGTGCTAAACAGAGTAATTTCATAGTTTGAACACAAGCACAGGGGGGCTAGTGAGGCTCACCCCACTTGTGGGGGTGTTTCTTCATTAAATTTGATGAGGCCAAGATTATTCTCCTTTCACTCGTGTCTTGTTTTGTCGAGACAGAGGATCTGGAGACACTGGAGGAGCACGTTGTACAGTATGGTTGGTAACATGAATCAAGCACCTTCCACCCCTGGTTTGCCTTTTTATTTTTAATTAAGAACTGTGCTTTGGACTACACAAAGCAGATGCATGTAACCCATTTCCTTATCTCCCCAAGGTTTCATTTTTCACTGGAAGAAAGTAAGAATAGTAATTTCTTTCTTTCTTACAGTAAAAAACCAAGTTTTTTTGCTATAAGGTGAAAAATACATGGTTTCCTCAAAGCATGCACATGCACACACCACTGAAAAAATGCATTTTATTTCTTAGTGGGATATCCTGAGGCAGAGGGAAAAAACCACTTCTCAGCCAACTCTAAAAGTAACAGCCACGTATTTTCCAACTGACCACAGAATCTAAAGCCCTCCTTTACCATTTCAGACGTGCTGGTGACCCCCATCCATAGCATACCTAAGCATAAGGTTGCATCCCTCAAAAGTTAAAAGAACTTGCGTGTTCCTACACATAAAAATACAACCTTGTTTTGATGACAGAAACAGAAAAAACGTTTTTAAGCAAATATTATGTACTTTATCTAGGTCTAGAGATCTACTACAAATTACTTTGTCTCTTGGTTTCACAATTCTTTGTTCCAGGGCTTAGAAGGGTGAAGGGGTACAAAGGAGCAGGAGATAATTCCCTCACAAAGGACCTCCATTGCCAGAGCCTTTGAAGTTGTGCTAAAAAAGCCTTGCTAGCCCATTAGCTGACACACAGCAGAAACCTGAACTGTTTCCATGCACACTACAAGCAGAGCTATTTTCTGCACAATTAGTCATAAAAAGGGCCAATGTAAACTGTGTCGGGAGGTCTCAATTCTTTACATTCTCCACACAGTGAATCAGATGTTATGTATAACGTTTGGTTGCCATTTAGACCTCGGGCTGCTTTGCAATCAGGAGGCGGCAGTCTCTGTTCCTCCTTCTCTCCCAGCGCTGATTTTCAAGCCTCTGGGCACCACCACAATGTTTATGGTGGTTAGGCTTCACCAGAATTAGTGTAGGCAAAAATGCAAATGCCAAAAGCTGCATGTTCACAGTTGGGGCAAATACTGAATCCTTTGCTTGCTGTCTCCAAAATTATGCCTCCGTTTCTCTTATTCTGAGAACGGTAACACTGAGTATTTTGGAAGATGAATGATGAACGTGTCAAGAAGAGCCTGTATAGTAGGAGCCACAGCAAACTGTCCAGGCAGATTTTTATCTGAATTTGCTAATTTCTCCACTATAGCGTTCCACTCTAACCCAACGGTCTCTGGGTAACAGCATGAATTTACTGGGGGGAACCCCATGACATCCAACATTACTCTTTCCTGCCACGGCAGATATCCCAGACCCATGATGGGGAATCAGTTTTGTGGATAAAGCTTCCAAATCTGTAATTCCCTTCCACTCCACAGCATCATAGCTGCTTCCATCCCTGCACCCAGCCATTCTTTGCTAATAAATATCCTTTAAAAATTGGAGGCTTTCTCACCCTTTCTCATGATGACCCAAGATATAGACCGCTATTGCTGCCAGAGGATTGCTCCTCTCTCTTCCTAAACCACTTACTTCTCTGAAATCTCGCTCTAGTGGTAGGGATTGCCTCGAATC